AATTCATCAGATGGCGCGCTCGCCGAATCATGCATCGAAAGCCCTGCCGAAATCCTGGCCTTTGTTCGGCCATGGCCAACTTCCCAAAACAATCATATCCGCCATCGCCGTTTGCAGCTGTAGGCGCGTTCAGAGCTAGTAGTGTTTCCATCGTGCCACTACTCCATGCGAAACCAGAGCTAGGACCCCCACAACAAATTGCAATTTCAAACTCCTGGCGACCGATGCAGTTCGTATTGCCGACAACCTGTATGACATGACCCCTCCCAAAATGTCCACGGCACCCTATTGCTGGTATGAGGCCCAGCGTACATGCATCGTGTACCATCGAACATGTAGCATAATTCTGCTAGGACACCCCACATGTTCTCATGTGCTGCTTCGGTGTTTGAGTGCATGTATGCATGTGCCAATGGTGCTTGGACTAAATATGATTGAAGGCGTGTGTGACAAACATGACACGTGATTCCTTCGGGGAGCTTGTGCCGAAGGTGCGGGCACCGAAAGCTTGTGCCACCGTCTCCACATCCGTCTCTGTCCCTATCCATGCTCTGGCATACGTCTACCCTTAAGCCTCTGCCGCTGCCTTGGATGTGGCTGTCGCCCAGGCTTGAGCTAGGAATCAGGCTGTCGATGAAATCAGAGCATCACTTCAAGCTCGGCACATGGCTGGCACTGGGGCGAGAATGCCACTCCGAGCTGGGGATGGGCACCGCGATGAAAGTGAGAATCGCCCGGCCACGGTTCGGGAGGCTGCCAGCTAAACATCTCGGAAAGTGGCCGGCGCTGAGGCGAGAGCTCAGCTCTGGTGTGGTCTGTGCGCATCTGGGGCGCTCCAGAAAGTGCAACGCCTTTGGAGCGTCTCGCCCTCGTCGGAAGCCCAGAGAGCTGGCGGAGGCCAGCCAAGTAAAATGGCAGCGAGTCTGCAGTCAGAAAAACGAGTGAGACGTCCACACTCCCCACAATGTGCTTGCACCTGCGGGTTCCTACTCATCTCTGCATAACGAATTTGTTGTGTCCGGCAGGATTTCGCCACATTGCCGCACTTTGCCGCCTCGGTGTCGCCTCGTGCGCTAGGTGGGTCCGCCGAGGTTTTGCCACGTTGCCGCCCGTTTCAGATTCGTGCGCTGGGTGGGGTTCGGCGAGGTTTCGCCACGCTGCCGCCCGTTACCGCCTCGTGCGCTTGGTGGGATCTGCCGAGGTTTCGCCACGAGGCTTCGCCACGTTGCCGCCCGTTGCCTCTTCGTTGCTGCCTCGTGCGCTGGGTGGGGTTCGGTGAGGTTTCGCCACGTTGCCGCCTGTTGCCGCCTCGTTGTCGCCTCGTGCGCTGTGTGGGGTCCGCCGTGGTTTCGCCAGGTTGCCGACCGTTGCCGCCTCGTGCGCTGGGTGGGGTCCGGCAAGGTTTCGCCACGTTGCCGCCCGTTGCTGCCTCGTTACCGCCGCGTGCGCTGGGATGGGTCTGGCGAGGCTTCGCCGCGTTGCCGCCCGTTGCCACCTCGTGGCTTCCTCGTGCGCTTGGTGGGTCTGGCGGGGTTTCGCCACGTTGCCGCCCGTTGCCGCCCGTTGCCGCCTCGTTGCCGCCTCGTGTGCTGGGTGGGGATCGGCGAGGCTTCGCCCCGTTGCCGCCCGTTGCCGCCTCGTTGTCGCCTCGTGCGCTGGGTGGGGTTCGGTGAGGTTTCGCCACGTTGCCGCCTGTTGCCGCCTCGTTGTCGCCTCGTGCTCTGGGTGGGTCCGGCGAGGTTTCGCCACGTTGCCGCCCGTTGCCGCCTCGTTGCCGCCGCGTCCGCTGGGTGGGTCCCGCGAGGCTTCGCCACGTTGCCGCCCGTTTCTGATTCGTGCGCTGGGTGGGGTCCAGCGAGGTTTCGCCACGTTGCCGCCCGTTGCCTCTTCGTTGCCGCCTCGTGCTCTGGGTGGGTCTGGCAAGATTTCGCTACATCGCCGCCAATTGCCGCCTCGTTGTGGCCTCGTGCGCTGGGTGGTGTTCGGTGAGGCTTCGCCACGTTGCCGCCTGTTGCCGCCTCGTTGTCGCCTCGTGCGCTGAGGGATCAGTCGAGGCTTCGCCCCGTTGCCGCCCGTTGCCGCCTCGTGCGCTGGGTGGGTCCGCCGAGGTTTCGCCCCGTTGCTTCCCGTTGCCGCCTCGCTGCCGCCTCGTGCTCTGGGTGGGTCCAGCGACGATTCGCCACGTTGCCGCCCGATGCCGCCCGTTGCTGCCTCGTTGCCCTGTGTGCGCTGAGTGAATCCAGCGTGATTTCGCCACGTTGCCGCCTGTAGCCGCCTCGTTGTCTCCTCGTGCGCTGGGTCAGGTTCGGCGAAATTTCGCCACGTTGCCGCCCGCTGCCGCCTCGTTACTGGATCGTGCGCTGGGTGGGCCCGGCGAGGTTTCGCCACGTTGCCGCCCGTTACCGCCTCGTTGCCGCCTCGTGCTCTGGGTGGGTCCAGCGAGGTTTCGCTCCGCTGCTGCCCGTTACCGCCTCGTTGCGGCTTCGTTCGCTGGGTGGGTCCGCCGAGGTTTTGCCACGTTGCCACCTCGCTGCTTCTTCGTGCGCTGGTCCGATCTGGCCAGGTTTCGCAACGTTGTCGCCTCGTGCGCTGGGTGGGTTGGGCCAGGTTTCGCCACGTTGCCGTCAGTTGCCTCAGCGTTGCTGCCTCGTGAGCTGGATGGGTCCGGCGAGGTTTCGCCACGTTGCCGCCCGCTGCCGCCTCGTTACAGGTGCGCTGGGTGGGGTCCGGCGAGGTTTTGTCACCTCGCCGCCTCGTTGCCGCCTCGTGCGCTGGGTGGGTCCAGCAAGGCTTGGCCACGTTGCCGCCACGTTGCTTCCCGTTGCCGCCTCGTTGCCGCCTCGTGCGCTGGGTGGGTCCGGTGAGGCTTCGCCCCGTTGCCGCCCGTTGCCGCCTTGTTGCCGCCGCGTGCGCTGGGTGGGTCTGGCAAGATTTCGCCACATCGCCGCCAATTGCCGCCTCGTTGTGGCCTCGTGCGCTGGGTGGGTCCAGCGAGGTTTTGCGACGTATCGTGCGCTGGGTGGGTCAGGCGAGGTTTCGCCACGTTGCCGCCGTTGCCGCTTCCTTGCGGCCTCGTGCGCAGGGTGGGTCGGGTGGTGTTTCGCCATGATGCCGCCTCATTGCCGCCTCGTGCGCTGGGTGGGTCCAGCGAGGCTTCGCCACGTTGCCGCCCGTTGCCGCCTCGTTGCCCCCTCGTGTGCTGGGTGGCGTCGCGTGAAATTTCGCCACGCTGCCGCCAGCTGCCGCCTCGTTGCCGCCTCGTGCGCTCGTGCGCTGGGTGGGTCCAGCGAGGTTCCGCCACGTTGCCGCCTCGTGCGCTGGATGGGTCCTGTGAGGTTTCGCCACGTTGCCGCCCGTGACCGCATCGTTGCTGGCTCGCGCGCTGGGTGCGTCCGGGGAGGTTTCGCCACGTTGCTTACCGTGGCCGCTTCGCTGCCTCCCATAGCTGGGACCGCATAGCTTACATTGCACACAATGCTGGCACCACATTGCTGGTACCGCATACCTTGTTGCACCACCTTGCTGGCACCGCATAGCTTACACACGCATGTGTAACCCATGTCTGTCTAACATATTCACGGTTTCAGGAGTTGGACGTCTGTGTAAGTATGTGTAGGTGGTGGGCGACATGCTCGGCCTTGCCATCACACGGGTGTGCAGATTGAGCGGCCCACTGTGCCGTTGCTAGCTAAATCATTGTAAACGTTGTTCCACGGTGCCCCACAGCGTCACGTGTGCCATTGAGAGATGCGCCACCGTGCGAAGCATTACATTACGCTGTGGTTTCCCTTATGAGCTACATACCTTAACACTATGAAGCACCAAAGCATAGGACAGGTAGGGGCGCGTCTTTGGTGACTGGCCAATGCCGATACCGCATGGCTGAAGGCTTTGGCTCTCAAGAGATAGGCGGGCTGGTCACCGCGGACGCCTGTTGGCAGATGCTGTGGCGACTCCTCCATTTGGGAGGGTATGGAGGCGGAGAAGAAGGGGAGGCAAACAGGGAGGGAAGGTGAGGGGATGCGAGGGGGGGGAAGGAGAGGAATGAAGTCACTTCTGTGGGGCTTCCAAGAGGACCCCCGATTACACATGTAAAGTGTGAGCTTTCGTCCCCATGTCTTTTTCTGCTCGCGAGGCCTAGCTCAACATGTTGACGGCCGTACGTCTTGTGCTACACTACTGTTGTTGCCAACGTTTGGACGGCCTCGTCCCGCCTCTCCAGCGTCCTCCTCCTTATCCTCCTTCTTAGGGTATGGGTTGCCTTGTGGCGCGCGCGCATGTCTGTGTGTGTGTGTGTGTGTGTGTGTGTGTGTATGTGTCTGCGTGTGTGTGTGTGTGTGTGTGTGTGTGTGTGTGTGTCTGCGTGTATGTGTGTGTGTGCGTGTGTGTGTAGACGTGCGTGTCTGTGCTTGCGGATTTTCCTTGTCGTGCCTGCTTCCCAATGTACTGTGTACTCGCCGTTGCTCTGAGCCCGGTACCGTTCCTGCATTGCATCGGCCCTTTGTGGAACCTTTGCGTGTGGGTGCACAGCAGTCCCGCGGCCACTGCTGCGACGAGAGAAAGAGAAGGTGAGATCGGAGGGAGGGAAAGGTAGGAGGACGCCACCTGTGTACCTACACCGTTTCTGGCCAAGCCTATCCTGGGCCCAATATCGCGGGGTAAGGCCTTCTGGCTTGGCCAGGAGGGTCTCGCCGATCCTGCCCAAGGTTGATGTGTGTACATGTTGGCTTTCGTCGACGGCAAGATGGCGGAACAAACACGATAACAATCTTGTGCAGGGACACGGGTTGAATCTGGGCCTGGCCTGCACGTGCTCATACCCACTATGGGCAGAACGGGTGCGGGAGGTATCAATGCCCCCTCCGCCCGACCACAGAGACCAACGAACAACAACATCCGCTGTTGGGGGGTAAGGCGTAGCCAATTCGATATTCGCCTACCTGCTGCCGTGTGTCGCCATGACCAGAGTGCGCTCAGACAAGATGTGGTTGCCCGAGCACTCAGCCGAATGCCCATGGAGGGTTCCTGACGAAGGCCTTCCGACCGAACTCCTCCCTGTAGCCTCTGCTGGAATACTGGCGCATGTTCTCGGTGATGGGGCCGCGAGCGACCTCGCTTGTTCCGCTACACTTCCTCGTCTGCCGTTCTGCCCTTTCCCCCTATTTAATCTTATACGTGTATATAGCGGTGCTGATACCATCGGTTCCCATACCCATGCAACAAATCTGCCACAACTCGGGTTACGGCCGGGGAGGCCAGGTCCGAGCGCCCCGGATGAGCCCACGACGGCCCCTAGATGGCCCCAAGACTGTCCCAAGGGTCTTCAGAAGGCCCGGAGAGCATTCCAATGCAACCAAATCGGGCCAAATATGGCAGGCAAACGGGCCAATGGCCTGCAAAGACGGCTCAAGGGGCCCGCAAGAGAACTCACAACAATGCCATGAGAGGCAACAGTCATGGATTGTCCATGTGTTGTTGTACGATTCTAGCATACTGGCCTTTTCGGTATGAAGAGCGCCCAAGACGGCCTAAGAGGCCTCCATGGAAGGCCCCAAAAGCGTCCAAGCAGGCTCCAAGAATGCTTCAGGATGGCCCAAGAGGGGCCCGAGACGGCCCCAATCCGCTCCAAGAGGGCTCCTAGATAGGGCTCCAGACAACCTAAGAGGCCCCAAGGTCGCCGAAATCGCTCCAAACAGCATCAAGAGACCACCAAGACGCCCCTCGAGAGCCCCTGAGACATCCCCAAAGAACCCCAGGACGGTCCAGAAGGGACGGCCCGAGTACGGCCCAAGAGCCCCAAGAGGCTCCCACTCGCATGTGTACGTATACACATGCACGTGCTCGTATTTCTGTGTGTGTGTGCTTGTGCTTGTGCTTGTTCTTGCGTGTGTGTGTGTGTGTAGTTCACCACGCCATCTGTCGCTCCCAACCATCTGCTCTCGACTCTTTCGTGTTTTGTTTGTGTATGTGTCTCCCTCTCTCTTTCTCTCCCTTACCTCTACATGTAGCTAAATATATGGCCGCGTTCACTTGGTAGCGTTGCCACTTTGCGGCGGTCACGTGCCAATGTTGGCGGGCATGTCGCGTGACCCCTCTCGAGAGCCCTCGGGGGCAGCCCTCGAAAACCACCGGAGCTGGTGCGACACCGTGTTGGCCCGATGACCCCACGGGGCTGTGTGACCCCGTGTTGGCCATGACCGCCGCTCCAACTCCATGAACGGCGGCACACACAGACACACAGACACACAGACACACAGCCATACACACATACACATAACACAGACAGATAGACACACAGGAAGACAGACAGACAGACAAACAGACACACAAGACACACAAGACACACAAGACACACGAGACAGACAGACAGACAGACAGACAGACAGACAGACAGACAGACAGACAGACAGACAGACAGACAGACAGACAGACAAACACACCTACATACAAATCACACAAGACACACACGACACACAATACACACATACACACGCCCACAAACACAACACAACACAACACAATGCAACGCAACGCAACACAACTCACAACAGAACACAACAACACAACCGCAACCGCAACCGCGACACCAGCACCAGCACCAGCACCAGCACCAACACCAACACCAACGTCAACACTAACACCAACACCAACACCAACACCAACACCAACACCAACACCATCGCCACCACCATCGCCAACACCAACGCCAACGCCAACACCAACACCAGCACCAGCACCAGCACCAACACCAACGACAACACCAACACCAACACCAACACAAAGGCCAAGACCAACACCACCACTAGCACCAACAACACCAACATCAACACCAACGCCAACACCAATACCAGTAGCAACAGCAACAGCAGCACCAACACCAACACCAACACATACATGCACACACACAGGTGCACACATACACATCTACACACCTGCACACCTACACGCCGACACAGCGACACACCTACACACATCTACACACGCACGCGCGCACGCACGCACGCACGCGTTCGCGCGCACGCACGCACGCACACGCACACATGGTTCCGTCGGCGGTGAGGTGGAGGCGATCCGCACCAGCGTCGGGCTAATCGGGCGCACCGATCGGCAAATTGTCCGGCGTGCAAGAGAACGACAAGGAAACGAGGGGGGCCGCGCAGGGGGGGGAAGGAAGGATGCGCTCAGGCGCGGAAGAATTCCGCGGTGTACACGCGCACACACACACACACACACACGCGCGCGCACGCACAACGGGCAGGTAGATGCCAGGAACGGATGCTCAGGGTTGCCACGGACAGAAGAGGATGAGGATGAGGAGGAAGACGATGAGAACGGAGACCCCGCAAAAACTCCCGGGCCAGGATCTGACGCTGGTGTTAGAAGAATGCTTGACATGCAGAGGACAGAGCCGCTGGTGCTACTCACTGCTGGTCGCTGCGGGCCGGGCCGAACGCTCCCCGCGGGCCGTCTGCCGCGCCCCTTCCCGGCTGCGCGCGATGGGCCGTGTTCTCGTGCGGTGAGCTCCTCGTGCTTCGTCTTGCTGGCCCTGTCGATCAGCGCATGGGCGTCCTCGGCTTTCGCCCGCCAGAAAGGGGAACTGTCGACCGCGGGGACGAACTTGAAATCGGTCTGCGGACAGCCGCGCACCCGGGATAACTCATGCACCTCGTCGGCCGACCTCGCGTGAATCCATACTTGAAGCTCACTCGCTACAAATGCAAACACAGCCATGTCCTGCTGTCCAGCACGATTAACTCCGAGCTTGCCAAATCAGTGATGCGGCTTCCTGGCGCCGTCGAACGTCGACTGGGGGATCTGCTCGCACTCTTACTTCGCAGCGTCGGTTGTCCCTCGGGCCCTTCCAAGGGATATCTTTGTGCATCATTTGCTGGCTGAACTCCTTCGCGACGGAGGCGTCCTCGAACTCGACCGAATGTCTCTCCCCCGCGCGTGATATGATAGTCATCGCCGCCTTCTCGAGCTCATCGGTAAGTTGGGGCATGGCGACCCCGTCCTAATGGGCCCGTCGCTGGGCCGCAGTGGGAAGTCGAAGGGCGGTGGCCATCCAGCGACGAGACGGAACTGCCTGCGGCGTAGAGGATTTTGATCTCGAGCCGCCCGTCGAGCGCCCCGCTGCCGACCGAAGCGAGCAGCGCTGCGTCTGGGTAATAATCGGCGACCGCGTCGTTGAGCGAAATCATCCTCTCCCGTGCCTTCGCGCGTCCATCGCCGCGGTGATGGCATTGTCGTTGGAACCCCTTGCCGTGGCCTCTAGCGCCGCCGTGCGTTGGCGTAGGTCACGTGGCGCAACGTCCTGAGAGTCGAGCTCTGCGCTGGCTGCCGTGAGTTCCGTCTTCCGCGCGTTATCCATGCCTCCAATCATCATTTTCGTATAATTGGCGTCCTTCATCATCTCATTCATCTCTGGTGGCGGGGATTCCTGGCGCCGTTCGCTGTCCCGCCGTCGGCGAGCTGACGTCGATCGCCTGTGCATCTGCGTCTTGTCCTTATCGGAGCGGCGCTTGTCCCCAGTGTTTGGCGTCGCGGCGAGCGTCGGGGTGACTCCTGTGGGTGACTCCTGCGGGGTCGACAACGGTGCTTTCTCGCGGTGATTCCCGTGGGGGTCGACAATGGAGCTTTCCCGCAGGGCGGGCCCCCATCGGGGCCCCCCTCGGCTGCGACCCCGGTTCTAGCCCCCGGGCGCGGGCCGGGGCCTCGAGGGGGGGGGGTTAAGAGGAAAAGGAGGAAAAACGGGGGGGCGATGGGGGGGGGCGGCAAGGGCAGCAACCAGAGGAGGGGGGTGGGGCGGTGGCGGCGGCGGAGCGAAATCGGGCCGACTGTCTCCAATGACCGCGCAGCACACGCTGGGGGGGGAGGGTGTTGGGCTGCGCGCGACGCATCGCGCGCCGCTTGCGAGCGGGTGGGAGATTGCCCCCCCTCCAAGGTTGGGGGCTCCAGCCGTGGAGCGAGCGCGCGGGGCGTGAGGGGGGCCGGGGGCGTGGGCCCGGCTGGGTCGCGCCGCATCTCCGCGAGGTTCAGGCGCAGGCTCGGGGTGCCCCGAGGGCGCAGGGGACCGACGAGACAAGTCAGAGACACTCATATACCCTGTTTGACGTCTCGCGCTCCCATGTCGACGACTCGCGGCCGCAGACGTCGCCGCCGTCGGCGAGCACGGATCGCCGACGATGCCTTCCACGGCAGACTGTGCTCCGCCGGCGAAACACTCGTCATTGCGATAACTCAACTGCATGCTGGAGGGCGCTCGGGCTGGCTTCGACCTCGCAGCCTTGCGCAAATGATCGACGTGCGACTCTAGGGCAATCTGTCACTAGCGAAGCCCCCGTCATCGCGGCGCAGGCTCCGCGCGCTGGATGGAACCATCTCCCGGCAGTGCTTCGACGGAGTCTAAGCGGCCATCTCCAGGACGTTGCGTTCTGATGATCCTGGCGCAACGAGATTCGATCGAACCCGAGAGTGCCCGAATGGACTAGCTCGCAAATTTGCGTCTCCATGCCTTGCCTCTTTGAACTTCGGCTGCCATCCCTGGGATTTGTTCTGACACCGGTGCCCTGTAGTTCTCGCGTTCGTCGAGCGCGAGCTGGGGCGCCCTCTCGTTGCGGGGGCGCGGGGCCATGCCTGGGCGAAGCCCCGCGCCCGGCTGGGCGAGGCGCGACTGGGGCGCGCGGGTCGACGACGCGTCCGCGAAGGAGAAGGCCATCTTCGCGACGCCCTCCGCGCGCGCGCGCTGCGCGCGCGGAGTCCCTCGATCGAAAGAGCGAGCTCCGTCGCCGACGGCGTCGCCTTCAGCCTCTGCTTGTGCTCCTGCGGGTCCGTTGCGTTGCGCGCTCCGGCTGAGTCGCCTGCTTCGGTCGGCTTCTGAGCCGCCGCCAGGGGGATCTGCGCGCGCTGGCCTCGTCGTGGTTCCTGCAGGCGGCTGGATCTTGGGGTCCCCCCGGGCGAGCTTCGCGCGTCCGCGCGGCTTCGGGGGCGTGGGCTTGCCCTCCTTGGAACGCCGTCTTGATGGTCGGCGCCTTCTCGTCCATGGTCATCGTCGCGAGCTTCGCTGCCGTCGGCGCCCTCAGGTTGGCGCAGTCGCCGTGGGCCCCCCCCCGCCAGCGCGTGCGTCGACGCGGCTATCGTCTGCGCGTTCGTGGCTGGCAGCTTGCCCAGCGCATCCGCTGGGGCCCCGCAGGGCCTGCCCGCTTCCATCTTGAGGTCGCTGTTTCCTGGCGCCGGTTGCTGTGGGCCGCCGTCGGCGCGAGGCTGCCGGGGGCCGCGAGGCGCGAGCTTCCGCCCCCCTGCCCGACTCTCTCGCCCGGCCCCTCGCTGGCCTCCGCGCAGGCGGGGGGCGGCTGCCGAGCCAGAGCGGCCCCTCCTCGATCCTGGGGGTCCTGGGCGAGGGCGCCCCTGATCTGCCGCCGCCATCTGCTCCTCTCCGAAGCGGCGCATTCCGAGACGCGAGGGGCCCCCCGGGGCCGTGGCTGAGACGGCGCCGATCCAGGGCAGCTCGATGCTGGAGCGGCCGGGGGCATGATGCGCGCGCGCGTGCTCGGCAATGTGCCCGCCAAAGACCAGCGCCGCTGCGAGCTCGGGCGCGGGGCGGACCGCGTTCTCGGGCCCCGGCGCAGGATCAAAGAACGGCGAGGCCTTCGCGGGGCATCTACTTTTTAGGACCGCCCGTGCTGCGCGTCCTTGGGCGATGCGTCTAATGCGAGACGACAAGCGACCCCATGTGCGTTCGTTCGTCACCGTCGACGCGCGCGCCGCTGACCGACGCGAGCGCCCACCAACCATTTTTTGAAACATCGTTGAACTGCAAGAAGGGCTTGCCTCGTACTACAGACGCGGCCACAGACATCCCCGTTCGAGTTCGTCAAGCCACATGGCCAGCTCGCTGCAGGAGGAGGAAGGGGGGGGGGCATCAGGATCGCCATCAAACCCAACGGGGGGTCCGCCAGGAGCATCGTGGAACCTGGGAGGGAGCGGCGCCCGCAACCGCGGTTTTCGCGCCTTGAGAAGCCCAGGGCCCAACGTTAGAAGCTGGTCGCGGATGTCCCCGTCGATGGAAAGAACCTGAACACAAAACCTCATAGCAGGCTCCAGACATGATTTCGTGAACGCCCAACCTGCAAGCAGAGAGGCCTCAGACTGCTGAGCTAACGTCAGGGTGTCGGACGCGAAGCGCTTGGTATATGTTTTCGCGCGCTGGTTCAAGTGTCCTCTCTCGCACAGCGTGGGTCAATCCTCGAATAGAAGCTGGCCGGAGAGAGATTTAATATCCTGGGGATGTTTTTGGCCTCCGCAAGTAAAAATGATGCTGCCTCAGCTTGCGGGCCTGCAGCTCGATCACCACGGGGGTCACGTTCAGACGACGAAAAACGATATCATCAGCGAGAGCTCGATGTCTGACGACAAGGCGACCGAGAACATCAGTAAGGGGATTGCCTCCTTCATCGAGCTCCTCCATCTTAGCGCAGGCATCTACTCCCAACAGTTTACGTGCGAAGCCGACTAGGACGTGATCTAGACGAGACTCCTGGGCAGCGGGGAGAAACGATGTAGTCATACCAGAGATCAAGGCTCCCTGGGCCACGGCCCCGAGAACAGTACGCGTGAACCGCCACATCCGAGTCATCGACCAGAACCTGCCCATGGAGTAATACCCCCGTCAACATGCCAGGATGCGTCAATGCAAGTCTCCTTGGACACCTCCATTCACACCCGTCTGAATACCCAATGCAACGTTGCCGAAGTGAACCTGGCCAGGGAACTTGGCAGCACCCCCAAACACAGCAGTTGCATGGACCTGGGATCCACGACCAACAAAGTATGGAGACATGCTGCTTTTTTCCTGCGTTCTGAGCGAATTTATCCGCAGGAAGAAATTCACGAAAGTGACGGTGTGCGTGCTCGAGTGCGTGGGCGGTTTTATTATGGCCGTCGTGACGATGTGCGTCTTGGACGTGTCGTGCGCAAATGCTCGACAAGACAGGTCCACAAGCCGCTGCAGCATATATATATATATATATATATATATATCCCTGCCGTACACAAGGGCTCGCTGGGCCACAAGGTGCGATCGGTCACGCCATTCGGGGCAGCTGGAAGGCCTCTCAGGACAAATGCCGTGCCACGTCTGCGCCAACAACGAACCGAACCACTCTTGCACCGGCCGCCTGGACGTACGATCGAAGCAGACAGCAGCGGGCGTGTCGCTCATAACGACCCTACACAGATTGCGCATCGTCTGCTCCCCGTCCGCTCCCACTATCGTGAACGCGTTCATCTCATGGCGCTGGCGGAAGCATTGCGAATCGTCCTGGATGGAGTCAGCCACTGTGGTCCTCAGCGCCGAGAAAGTCGAGCAGCCGAACGTGCTCGCCAAATCCTCCAAGGATGTGACCGAAGAGACTCCGCTGGCACGTGGTCTCCACAGCGGCGCCTCCTGACATACAACAGCACCCTCACGGCTCCGTCCATGATGGTAGCCATGCTCGCGATCGTGAGCTGCATCCGCATGGCCACGACGAAGCTGCGTTTTGTACCACAACACCCCCATTCGACACAGGGAGGAGGACGAGGAGGAGGAGAAGGAAAAGGAGAAGCAGGAGGAGGAGGGGAGAGGAAGACAACGGCGACCTCGTCGTAGTGTTTGATGGCGCGGCACACCTCGGCCAGGGTGCCCATTTCCCACTTGTCGAGGTGGTCGCCCTCCTGGCGGCGAGGTGCCCGAGGGGGCGCGGGAAGAGGGGAGTAGGTTTTTTTGATGCCAAGGGGCCCAAGCATGACGTCCGAACGGTGAAGATGATGAAAAGCACTGGTCGTCCGTCCCAATCTTTGCCGCGACGCGCTGGCGTTCACTGTGCACTTTCCGAGGCTTGAGGCAGGGCCTTCGGCTGAACGAGCGGCCTTGGGCGGAGATGGGCCTGCGTTTGGAGTACCCTGTGACGTCGTCTCTAGAACATAAGCATACCGCAGACGGATCTATCCTTTCTCCGACCGTGTACTCTGCCGAACGCGACTGCCGTGCTGTCTATAAAGGTATCCAGCCCGAACGTGTCTACATACGTAAGGCCACCTGATGTGTCTATATACTTAATGTTCGATGTATGCTTTTATTTGTTGTGTGTGCTTTCAAGGGAAGCGACCAAGAAATGAAGATCGAAAATCTGCTGGCCCTCAGGAGGGCAATCCCAACCGCGCGCAACACGGACAAGCGAACACGTTTTGCAATTTGTCTATAGACACGTGTGGATAGACAGTGAGAACGTCATTTGGCATAGGCCCGAGATGCTGGTCTTCGAACAGCAGATAGACTTTGCCCTCCAGGCCCGCGTGCTCCTGTGCCCTCGGAACCAGCTGGGCTTTCTTCACCTCCTCCAGCGCCTGGCAAAAGGCAGCGGCGGCCCCGAGGATGGGGAGCAGGGAACTCATACTTTGATCGCGGCGCGCGTCGGCTACATCCTTGCCAGAGCGTCCGTGGGCAACCGTGGCTTTTCCTGGCGCGGCCTGCAGGTCGTTGCGCGCGGTGCGACAGTAGCGGCCTGCGTGCTTGGGATTGCCCGCCCTCCCGCGCGCCCGCCGAAGGCTGCTGCGCATCAGAGGCCGCCCGGTCGAAGGGCCACTCTCACGTGCCGCCGAGTGCACCGTGGGCTGACCTTTCCCGCGGATCCCGGCGCCACGGGCACGGGCGCGGCGGCCAACCTCCCACCGTTCTCGGACCCCGGAGGCCCGCCTCGACAACACGGGATGAACAGCTCTTGGGCGCAGGGGCCCCCACATACACTCAAATCGCATGACAAGGACCCGCGGTAAGGATGCAAGGGCCTTGGAGGGCCACGCTGGCGTTTTCGAACGGGGCTGGCCAGCGAAAGCCGCCACGGATGTTCCGCAGGGGCAAGGATGCAAGGGCAGCCCTGGGAAGTTGCTCATCCTTGCTATCCGACTTGACTGTGTTCGGCGCGGGGACCCCAACATGTGCATCTTGTTTTCTGGCGCTAGCCTCTGTGGGTGCCTCCTCTGTGCGAACACCTGGGCGTGAGCATATCTGAAGCGCGAGTAGAACTGAGTGAGCATGTGCAGGTCAGAGTGCGAGCGCCTGTCTCTGCTGCTGCATGCTACCCACTGGCGGCTCCCCTTTGGGGTGCCCAAGTGCTATGCCTGCTACATCGCGGTGATCGTGGGGCTCTCCCAAAAAAGGCGTCGGAGGTGCCTGCTACATCTCCGTGATCCTGTGGCCCTGGAAGGAAAAGAGTCGGAGGTGCAGAACAAGTGCCTCGCTCGAGAGATCCCTGCAACCTGGGCGCGAACTGGCAGGAGTCCAACCCCCTGCTGGCTCCAGCTTGTGCCCAAATGCCATGCCTGCTACGTCGTGGTGATCTGGGGCCCCTGAACTGAGACGAGTCGGAGGTGCAAAACAAACGCATCGCTGGAGACCTCCCCACAGCCTGGGCATGAACGGGCAGGTGTTCTATCCCCCGGCGGCTCCCCCTTGGAGTGTCCGAGTGCTATGCCTGCTACGTCGCGGTGGTCAAGGGGCTCGAAATTAAAGGCGTTGAATGTGTAAAGCAAGGGCCTCACTCGAGACTTCCCCACAAATCTGGGCCCGAACGGCAGGTGTCCTACCTCCTCGGCGTCTCCCCCGTGCGGCGCGCAAATGCCATGCCTGCTATTTTGCGGCGATCATGGGCCTTTCAATTTAAAGGAGTCGGAAGTGCAGAACAAGCGCCGCGCTCGAGACGTCCCCACACTCTGGGTGCGAACGGGCAGGTGTCCAATCTCCTACCAGCTCTGCCTAGGGTTGCTCAAGTGCTGTGACTACTACTTCGCGGTGGTCATGGCGCCTTCGAGTTTGAGTAGGTCTAGATATGAACTGGTCTTAGTCAGAGAGATTGTGTAGGTGAGCCTGAGTTTGGGTGGGTCTGGGTATGAGTAAATCTGGGCGTGTATGATCTGAGCGTGAGTGTTGGCGTGGAAGAGTATGGATATTGCAATGCTGAGTATGAATGAATCTGGGTGTGGGTGTCCTGAGTATGAGTGAGATGGAGTACGTATGAATGAATTGGTTTGAATATGGGTGAATCTGCGTATGGGTGGGTCTCAGCCGGAACAATCTGACGGTTAGTAGTCTGTGTGACTGAGTCCATGTAGGAGTGGCTCTGAGTGCGAGCTAACCTGAGTGAACGTGTTCTGAATCTGAGTTTCAGTGTGATTGAGTCCGAGTGTGAGTGGGTCTGAGTGCGAGTGAGTCTGAGCATGAATCTAACTGTGAGTGAGAAAAGGGGGAACGAGGCCGAATCATCACACTGATAACAAGAGCCCACACTCAGGATATGTGAAACACATGTCCCGAGGAATGGGTCGAGAGATCCCGGGGCCCTCGTCACGAAAAGCATCGTGACGTCGGATGTCTGAGTTTCGCTCCGATAAATGCGGTGACGCACTCGCCAGGAGGCGTAGACATCCTCCAGGTTTCTCGATGGCATGTCTCGCTAGCGTGTCAGGACGTGCAGTGGTATCCCCACGGACATCCTGGGCCAAAGAACCTCGAAAAACACTCGGCGGGAAGATGCTCCCTGGTTCCGGGCATGTGCTGGAGTTTGGATGCCTGCGGCTTCAAGCGCATGTCTACCAAGCCGCTGAATATTTCATTATCTTCCCATTGGCGTGGGAGGCATGACCCCGCTTGAATGAAAGCACTGGGCATCTGAATGCGCACATCTGTCTGGAACGATGATCCAACCAAATAGCAGAACAACGTCTGTGTATGTGTGGGGGAGCCAATGCCTACGTGTAGCAGCACTGTGGGCACGCGTGCCTCGTTCTGAGGACTGTGCGGGCCCATACTGGCAGATCCCACCCGGAGCCAGGGCGGCAATCTTGGGATCCTCACGTGCCAACTGCTCCTTCGGAACCCGAAGCCTCCGCACAACATGATCCTCCCCGAGTGTTACCCGCCCGAGTCTATGCCTTCATCCTTACGGCTGCCGCTGCCCAGCCCTGGTTGCCTCGGACTTCAGGACCTCGGTCATGGCAAGTGGAGACCTTGGCAAGCGTTATGAATCGCAATCGCATGCATCAAGGCTTGGGGTGTCCTTGCGCAAGTCTCCAGCACTGGAATTGGTCGGGGCGACCGTGACGCAAGTGCGACTCTGGTTGAAATGCATGCGGCGCTACGTGTCGGTGACTGCTGCAGGAAACATTGCCGCAACGCCGCAGGCGGAAGTACTCCCTCGCGCCGCTTCGCAGACTTGGGCCCCAGGAGAGGCCCACTGGAGAAACTCGTAGGGCCCTGGGAGCCTTCCCGAACAAAATGGCCACGAAGACCCCTACCGTGCCCCCCGAGAGGCCCCCAATAACCTCCCCGAAGGCCCCCAACGCTCTCAGGAGCCTTGAACAACTCCCAAGAGGCCGCCCTGGAGGCCTCCAACAGGCCCCCGAGACGCACCGTAACAGACGCGGAGGACGAGGAGGACGAATTAGCAACAACTTCACGCAAACAACACGTCGGGGAACGGCAAACAGCACGCATGGTGCGGACGCGGCAGGAAGATCCCCTCGCGAGGAACTCAACACTGAAAATCCGCGCGCAAGGTTTCAATTGAGGGGGAACCCGAACCATCCTGAACGCAGCAGTTCCTTACGCAGCGAAGAAGCCCAAGGTACCTAGACGAAAAACATCTGGTTTCTTGATGCGCATCCCCACTGCATCGAATCGGGAGCCACACATCTCCTCCTCTGGGGGTTGAGAAATGGCGTAACCCTCTGGAACATCGGGTGTTCTGAAGTCCACGCGGAAAGACCTGCACTGGCAACTGGAGGCCTTACTGAACCGCGCACCGGCCGTCAGCCGCACCTGGACGCGAGAGCTGGAACCGCACACGGCTGGATGCGCATGCGGAGCATGCGGAGGCCTCTTGCTGAATCCCCAGCTACACGCAAGAGTGACCCTGGGCTCGAGTGACCTTTGGCTCGCGGCTCTGTGGGGCCGCGGAGGGGGGGCCAGCTCCAGGCGCGCAAGCCAGGGCTGCGGGGCCCCTGTGGCCCGCACCCCAGGTCACCTCGGCGAAGGGTCACTCTTAGCGGGCGAGCGCTGGAAACCGAGACCTCCGACGATCTGCTTTGCTCGATCCTGGCGTCTTTCCTCGGTTTCGGCCTCTGGGCCCGTTCTCGGACCCCGGGACCGCGAACATGAGCCTCGGACGAAACGACTACTCCCAGGAAAGACATCGAGACCTCTGGGGCCGCGCGTTGAACAGATCCGCCGACCCCCGCTCGCCAGGGGTGAAACGGCGTGTGAGGTGATTGGATGCCCCCCCTCCCCCTTTCCCTTCCCCTGGGGCCAGGCATTGAACTCGAGGGTGGTGGAGGGATGCCTCCAAAGAGCCGCCAGACCTCCCAATGCGCGCCGAGACAATCCGAGAAAGCGTCGAGACGGCCCAGGGTAACCCCATCACGGTCCAACTTGGCTTCAAGACGGCCTACGAAGACCCCAAGACTGCCAAAGAGTGCTCCCAGAAGGCCGCCAAGAGGGCCCCAAGAAGCACACATCGCCTCATTCCAATCAGACCAGCCCTTTGGGCGACAGGTGGTCTAAGGAGGGTCTCTTTCCTCGTCCACAACGCCTCTTCCCTTTGGGGAGGGGAGCCCTCCCCCTCCCCTCCCTGTTTTTTTTGGGTGGGCGACCGATGTGTCAGAGGATCATTTTATCGGCCAGTGTTTGACACCCTTCACGAGGATCGTGCCCCCCGAGGGGGGAGCTACATTCAGTACCCCCCTTTTTTGACCGACCGCCTCTGGGCCCCCCCCGAAGGGCTCCCAAGAGGCTCCCAAGAGAGCTCCAAGAGCGCCCTCCCTCTCCTCCTGCATGTTGGCGTCTGCTCGCCGCGTCTTTTTGTTCCCCCTCGTTCCTCTTCCTCCTCCTCCTCGTCCTCCGCCTCCGCCTCCTTGTCCGAGTCGTGTCTCGGCCACAGTCGCCGGACAGCTTCTGACCGCGATTTCCGGATTTGTTGCTTCCGCCCGGACAGCAGCCGCGCCGCTGGAGCGGCCTGGCGATTCGGCGCACGAGGCATGGCTCGACTTCGAGCGAGGACGCCGGGCGGACATCTTCGGACAGGTAGGTCCTCCTTTCGCCCACGCCCACTGGACAGCTTCGCACAGCTACCGCTGCGGCACGCTTTGGCGCGTCGGGTTGACACGTCGACTGTGGAACCTGTGTGTGTGTGTGTGTGTGTGTGTGTGTGACTGAATCAATTTCGCTCTGGGACGGGACCCTGGCCTCGTCCCGGGCGTCGGCCCCAGCCACAGCCCCGGCGGCTCGGCGGTCCCGCCCCTGGCCGCGCTCTCGAGCTGTAAGTTTTTCTTGGAGGCTGGGGGTCTTGGGTCAGCCGTAGTTTTTCAATTTTTTCTCAGGGTCAGCGCCCTTCCCTTGGAATGCCCGGGGCTGTGGCCAAGAGCGCCCCAGGAACCCCCGAGAGGCCCCCAAGAGGCACCCGAGAGGCGCCCAATAGGCCCCCGAGCGGCCTCAGAGAGCCCACGGTGACCTCCACGACGGCTCAAAATAGCCCAAACTGGCTCAAAGATGGCTCCCAAGATGCTTCAGGAGGCCCCCAGCCGCTCCAAGACGGCTTAGGATGGCCACGGGGCCTTCCCAGGAGGCCGCCAAGAAACCAAAATCCTTTGAGTATGCGTGTTTCTTCCACTCTACCCCCGTCAGCTCTCATGGGCATCGTTTCTGGATGGGCTGGTGGAGATACATATTTTTTGGTCGCGGCCGCAGGCGAGCGCGCCAGCAGCGTCAGAGGTCGGGCGGGCTACGCGCGAACCTAATTGCCAAGCGCACGGGACCGACGGCCGAACCTAGCTGGTGGAGATACTTTTTGGTCAGCGGCCGCGGGCGAGCGCGCCGGCGGCGAGTCAGGTCAAAGCGGGCTACGCAGAGACTAATTAGGCAGAGGAAACGCGAGAAACTTAAAGCAGAGGCGACGCGCGAGGCAACAGCAACGCGCCGGCCGAGGCCTCACGCAGCGGCCCAACGGCAGGTGAATGGCTGGAGGGACTGAAACTGAGGGGAACTGCCAGCGTGCAAAGCTGCAAGTCCGTCGGAGGCGCCAGGTCGGAATGTAAGCGACGGGCATGGACAGCTCCGAGAGAGAAGGCATGATACCGTGCCCCAGACGACTGCGTGGGCACCAGGGTGGCCGTGGCCAACGAACCGCCAGTCGAAGTAGGCTGGTGGAGCCGCGGGCGGGAGCGCCAGCGGCGGCAAGTAACGGTCGGGCTGCGGCCGAAACTAATTGGCCGGACGCGCGCGCGGGCCGCGGCCGGCGCCGGGGCGGCGGGTGCAAGGGTGCTGCAACCCAGGGTGTCTGACGCCCAGGGACCAGCACCCAGGGAGTCTGCAACTACGCTGCCAAAGTGGCGCGATGCAAATAACCCCAAGGTGTCTAAGACCATGGCCCAGCAGTGCGCCGGTTGAGACACAATCGAAGTATGGAGCCTGCCAACCTCGGCGCAGCGAATGGTTTACCATAGAGTCCCAGGGTGTCTGAACCATGCTCAAGCAGAGGCGTCAGAGAGACACGCACGCTGTCGCCTGACTGCAAACCGTGGGGAGAGGTGGGACTCTGACAGCGCCAGCGAACCGTCGCATCTTCAGAGTACGCACCAACGCAGCCAAAAGGCGCGAAGTTCGTGGTGTCTGTAACCGAGCAAGGCACGTCAGGACCGGGAAGACAACCGCGAACAGAGATGCGTCCGCAAGCGAGCCATCAGGTAACATGATGTGGCGCTATGCGGAAGGTACAACTGTCCCGATCTTCTACCAGGCACAAGTCGCAGGCGACTAGCGACCAAAGATAAGAGCAGGAACGCGTACCAGGGAACATCTAACGTGACAAGCATGCACAGAGCCACGCCTATCCTTGGTACCCTGGCGTACAGGGGTGAAGTGTAAGAAGATGGCGCTCTGGGAAAGCTGTGCTGCCGCTTACCAGCTGCAGCCGAAGCAACTGCCAGTGGTCACGAAGAAGCCCAGGGAGCTAAGGGCCGTTCATCCAGGTAGAGCGGGGGAGCGACGATGGGATGATGCCAGTCCGGGCAACAGGAACTGGCGGGCAACAAAGAAGCAGGCGTACGCACTAGGCACAGGTATGGGCTCAGTCCGCTGACCACCCGCGGCAACACTGTGGCCGGTGCGCGCAGCTGGTGGATATATATATATATACACATACATACATACATACATACATACATACATACATATTATTATTATTATTATTAGTATTATTATTATTATTATTATTATTATTATTATTTATTTATTATTATTATTATTTACAGCCGCGGGCGGAAGCGCCAGCGGCGGCGGGTAACGGTCGGGCTGCGGCCGCTACAAATTGGCCTGGGGCGCGCGCGTGCCGCGGCCGGCGCCGGGCGGCGGGTGCAAGGGTGCTGCTGCCCAGGGAGTCTGATGGGGAACCAGCGCCCAGGAATAAGTAATTACGCTGCCAAAGTGGCGCGATGCAAGACCCCCACCGTGTCAGAGGCTACAGAACAAATGCGGTCTAAGACACTAACTGAACAGGAGGAAGTCCCCAACCTCGGCGGGAATAAAGTGCGAGGGGGTCCAGGGGACCTGCCATGCACAAGCACCAACCGAAAGACACACGAGCAGTCGTCAGTCGGCATCCCGTACGAAAGGTTAGCTCTGACAGCGCCAGCGAACCGTCGCAGCTTCAGAGTACGCACCCACACAGCCCAAGGCCCGTGGAGTACGTGGTGTCAAACCGAACCAAGCACGCCAGGCCCAGGAGACAGCCGCGAATGGATGCGAACGCAAGCGACCATCAAGTGACATGATGTAACGCTATGCGGAAGGTACAACAGTCCCAATCCACTACCGGCCACAAATCGCAAGCGACGCCAACCGAATTAGAACAGGGACGTGTACCAGGGAGCAACTAACGTGACCAGCACAACTGGGCTGGTGGAGATACGCGAAGCGTCAAGAATGGGAAAACATACATTTCCGAGATGTAAGCCTTTCTCGTCTAGACAGCGTTCACTACGGCCCAAGGAGCCCCCAAGATCGCCCCAGGACGGCCCATTAGGCCCCCAAGAGGGCCCGAAAACGGCCCGGGCCCAAGAGGACCCCAAGATGGCCCTAGGGGCCCCTAACTAAAGACGGCCCAGGAAGGCCCCAAGAGGGGCAAGATGAACTGACATCTCGAGTCTTTCCCGACGTGCTGGCCCCAAGAGCCCCCCAAGATGCCTCCAAAAGCCAATCAGATGCCCCCGAGGGCCTTCCAAGAGGGCCATGAGGGCATTCCAGGACACCCTCATATGCATCCCCGAGGCATCTGAACCACATGCCAGGCCCAGTGGCACGACTCTTGACGAATTCGATCTTATGGGGGTCGGCGGAATGGCGTGAGCTTCTTCGATCACATCTGCGGATCTCTCGGCATACGTGTGGTTGATTATTGTATCTGGCCTCGTGAGGGCCGAGCGCTGGCAAGACATGCGGTCACAAGCGTGTCCATCTCGCGCCCAAGTCGGCCACATCATGTGCATCCCAGCGTCCCGGTGGCAACCGAAGCAAAGAGGCCCAGAGGGCCCCACTTCCTCTGGAGGCATCAGGAAGCCCTGGGAGGTCCCTGGCGGTCCCTGGAAGTCCCTGGAGGCTCCACAAGGCACAAGCGAGTAAGACAAACACCATCTTTTACATACATATGTATATACACGTATGTCTACTCATATACATTATTCTATATTTCTGCAGGGCCCTCTTTCTCGTCCTATATCCAAGATCCTCCTACATGCACCGTTCTATTTTCAAGATTATTATCCTCCGCGTCCTCCTGCGCTGCGACGTACGACGGGGTCCGATGGTAACACCAGCGTCGTTAGAAGGGAGAAGCCCTGGCGGGACGTCTGACCCCTGACCCCAGAAAGACCCCGCCCTCCCGCGTACCCAACATGTCCTTCGGAAGGCCGGTGATCTGGAGGTTCTGCTGGATGGCCCTACTCGTCCTCCTCCTGCCCTCCAGTCCTCCCTCCTCCTCCTTCTCCTTTCTCCTCCTCCTTTCCTCCCTCCCCCTCCTCCCTCGATAGAACAGTCACCCTGTTTTCGCCTTGTGGCGCTGGACGGCTCCGTGCGTGCAATTCCTGAGGGGGCTTCGATTCACGAAGCTGGGGGGCTTGTGCACCCCTCCCACTGCATGATGTTTCATCAAAACCAGAACGTTTGGTTTTCGCGACTTGTGGAACTTATGGTTGCCAGGTACAGTCGGCTTTGGGGAGAACGTGCAGTGGCGACGCCACTGTGAGCCGCCAAGAATACTTGAGACGTCTCGCTTTGGGGGTATGGCCGAACGCCTACAGCAAGAAGGACTTAACCCGTCAAGCCTGGAGGCGGTCTGGGTAAGTGTTGGTGGACTTCGTCCCGGGACTCCATCTCCAACTCCCTCGAGAGGGCAGAGTGAGCACGTCCACGCGACACTGGCATCGTCCGCCGCCGCCTCCTTCTCCTCCCCTCCTCTTCATCTTCCTCCCTCCCTCCCTCCCCCCATCCCTCCCCACCCCCTGCCCCCCTCCTCCCCTCCAAGCCGCGCCAGACGCTGTGGCGGGGACCGCCCGCCGGCCGGCAGCCGACTCTCTGCCTCCTGCGGCCGGGGCGGGGCGCCCTGCCAGCCCGTGCCAGACCTGCCGTCCCAACGCGGTCCCCCCGACGCAGGCCCCTGGCGACGGGTTGACAGGACGAGGTCAGGACGTCAGGACGAGGATACCGTGGGGTGAGGAGAAGTCGAGAATCTCTGAGGTCCGGCGACTCTGGAGGATGCCTCGGGCACCGCGCCTTCTCAGAGCGTTCCAGAACGCTCTGAGAGCGTTCCATAACGCTCTGGAGCGGATTCATCCTCGTCCTAGCCCCGTTCGAGTTGAGGAGGGAGGATTTAGAAGGTAATGGAACATTTGCGGGGTCTTCCTTGGTTGGCATCCATCAGCCGCGCCTCGTCGAGGGCGTTCTGGGGATACCGGAACCGTCCCGAGCGGCCGCCTGAGGCCCGAGTTGTGGCCCGAAGGACAACTGAGGGGAGACCCCCATCTCCGATCATGTGGTCAGAGTGAGGGGGCCAAACGGTCATTCACTGTCCCTGGGTGCGTGGCTGAAATGGGGATCCACGGCGAGGATTCTGCTTGTTTTGCTGCGTCGCCCCCCCCGCGACCCACCCGCGACCTACCTGCGACCCACCCGCGACCCACCCGCGACGCACCCGCGACCCACCCCGCGACCCACCCAAGACCCACCTGCGACCCACCCCGCGACCCACCCGCGACCCGGCCCGCGATCCACCCGCGACCTACCCGCGACCCACCCACATTGCTTTAATAGGCGCCTGCGGCGAGCTCGTTGTATAATTTCAAAAAAACGGGCGCCTGCGGCGGGCTTCTTCGGAGCCTCGCAGACTGCAGACGTCCCCGCCGCCCCCTCACTCTTATCCGCGATTGCGGGGGGCTACGGTTGTATTTTCCATTCCTGCGCTTTTCCTTCAATTTCGGCCTCTGGGGCTCGATCTCGGGCCCTAGGGTCATCAAAACGGGGCCGGGGACGAAACACTACCCCCCAGGGGAGGGGGGCGGGACCTCTGGGGCTGCGCACCGAACACATCACATCGTTGGAGGTCTGGGCCCTTCGCCCCGCAGCCTCCACCACTCCCCGAGCAGTGGCGGAGTAGGAAGGATGACCCCCAAAGGCCCAAGATAACTTTTTTTCGCAGAGTTCGCTCTCGCTCGGCTTCGCACCCCTCCGGCTCCAGAAACGCCGCCGAGCGTTGGGCCCCAGGGTTCCAGTCGTGATTTCTACGAGGTCGCGTCTGTTTCGCGACGTAGGGTCTCGCTGGACGTAGGACGGATGACTCAGGTACTGGCGCCAGGGGTGGGTGGGTGGGGGCTGCAAGCAGAGGGCGCTTTGCAAGGGGCTCGGCTGGGGCAGTGAGAGGGCCCGGCCTGGTCCTGACTCCTGGCGATCCAGTGGGCGTTTAGCGTGGGAACGTGGGTGTCTGGGTCAATGTTCGGTGGCAACTCACGGGAGCTTTCCACGCCATCTTGCTGATCGGCGCTAGTCGACGCTAAATCGGCGCTTCCTCATCGATTACCATACGCTAAGCAACGCCAGTGCACTCACAAGACGGAATCACAGGGACGTCCAAGGCTCCAATGATTTGCTACCGAGGAAATGGGTGTTTGGTATGACCAGGACGTGGTTTGGTGGATGCGGAGGGCGAGTGGGAGGGAGGATTGGGAGGGCGAAGGGGGAGAGGAGAGGGGAGGGGGATAGATGGAGGAAGCTTCCCAGACCCACGACGTAGTGATTTTTCGCAGCGTGGACCTCGACCCTATCCCTATGACCCGATTTAATGCTGGCTAGTATGGTTTCTATCATCTTTTAGGGCTCCCCCCTGTCGAAGCGCTGGCCCGTGAGCATCGCCCCCCCTCCCCGAGGCTCTGTTGGCGCTAAGGCACGTCCCTGGCGCTCCTCAAGGAGTCGAAGACGACCAAGATGGCTTCCAAGATGGGCCTGGCAGGCCACCAAGGTCGACAAGATGGCCCAATATGTCTCTAAGACGACCCAAGATGGCCCTAAGACAGCTCCAAATGGCTTACGACTGCCCAAGAGGATTTCAAGACGGCTCAATGAGAATTCTCAATAGGGCCCGAAGATGCCAAAATCATGAATACTCCTCATGTGTTTTCTACTTTTTGCGCATTCTCGGATTTTCGGTATTCCGACGACTCAAGATCGTCCAAGCGGCGTGCAAGATGGACCGAAGAGGGCTTCAACAAAGCCCAAGAGGTCTCCGAGATGGCCTCAAGACGAACCGATAGGGTCCTGGAAGGCCCAGGGCGAACCCAAAAGAGCCTCAAGGTGGCCCAAAAGGGCCTCCGAAGGGATCCGAGACGCCCTACCCTACGAGGACACCTGGATGGCGCAAGACGGCCCAACAGGGCCCCAGGAGAGCCTCAAGACGGCCCGAGACGGCCCCAAGAGGGCCCCAGAGGGTCCCAAGGGATCCCCAATACTGCCCCACAGAAACCCAGGACAACACCAAGACAGCCCCAAAAAGGTTCATGAGAGACTTTCGGAAAATGAAGACGACAGGTGTCACAAGTCACGGTTCTCCTCCTCCTCCTCCTCCTCCTCCTCCTCCCTCCCCCTCCTCTTCCTCAGGCCATTGTGGGCCAAGCCTCTCTGGGGAGGGGTCAAGTCTGCACGCACGCACGCGTACCGTGTGTCGGCACAGTAGCAACCTTCTTGGCCAGACAAGCCCGCGGCTTGATGGGGCGCCCAACACGGGCGGCGAAAGTGCGCGTGCAATCGTATGGAAAAGAAGGATGCAGCAGGATCGGCGAGGGCACGTTCGCCCAGTCGGATCCAGAAGCAGAAGTGCACAGTGTGCCCTGCTTGTCCGAAGTCTTGGGTGTTTGATTACAGGGTGGGCAAGCCAGGTTGGAAAGCGTGTCACAGCTGCGGAGTACTGTGGAGTGCGTTGTGCCCACGGGTGCGGTCGCAAGGAGGAGGTGGTGCTCAGTCGCGTGGCGGAAAACGCGCCACCACGCAGGATGCCTTGCTCAACACTCGGCTCCCGAAGTATGCCAAGGCCAAGCAAGAGAACGACGAGAACGCTCAGGAGGCCTTGGAAGTCATATGTCCCGACCTGGCGAATGAATGGAAGCCCCCGCCGGTCCCAACCAACAAGGAGCTGCTGGCTACGAACGCTCAGAAGATCAGACAGCTTCAGGCGCAGCAGGGGCGGCTCAAAGTGCAGTTGGTGGCGGCGGCCAAATCTCAGAAGGAGTTGCAGGGAAAGCTTGTGGCAAACATCCAACAGTGTCTGGACTTGCGGGCAGAAGTTGACAATATCCAGACCCCAGCAGGTGCGGCTATGGCGGCATTGGCGACTGAGGCAGCAGCGGAGGAGGACACCTTCCCAAAACTATCGGCAGAGGACCTGGTGGCGCTGGGCAAGGGAGGATGAACGAGCATGCTGCGGCAGAAACTGCTGCTGATCAGGCTCGACATGTACTGCGACAAGCGGCGCTGGCCCTCGGAGGCTCCCCAGCTCGTCTCGCAGGCCGCGCTGGCGCGCGGGAGCTGCAGTGCGAGTCGGTGGCCCAAGTGGACGCGGTATCGCGGCGACGTCGACAACCGCAAACGCGATGATGATCGTAGCAGTGCCGGTGGCCACGGTGACGATGATAACGGCAAGGCCAATGACGGCGCCGATGCTGGTTACGCCGGTGACGATGATGTTGTCCACGCATCGGCGAAAAAAGGTTTTGGGGAACAAATCGGCATGCGCGCGAGGCCGAAAGACGCGAATGGGCCATAGCGTGTTATTTGACAGGGCTCGTGTCCCCCCCCCACCACGCGCGCAAAGGCGTTCAAACAATTTTGACACGCGCGCGCGAAAAAGGCCCGCTTGATCACATTGGATGAATCGGTTGATAACTTATTGTTGCCGCAAGAACTCGTGAGAACGCGCCCGTGCCTGTGTAACAAAAACATGTCGCGCAGCAATTCTTGGTTCTTCCGTATACTTTCGCGAACCTCGATCTGGAAACCCCTTTTCAATCGAAGGCATTTGACGAATTCCGGCATGCGCGCGCGACGGCGCGCGCGTGTGGACCTCGTCCCGTTGTGGTCACGGGAGCCGTGGAGATGGATGGTTTTTGATAAACGAGTGCGCGCGCATAATATCATACCGATAGGACCACCCCAAGGGTGATATGGAGATTTGGGGGGGAGGGGGGGGGCGGCCGATTTGCAATGAGTCCCGCCTGGCGCCAAAAAATAATCCGCGAACAAAAAAAAACAGAAACCACCTACTCCCGACAGCTTCTAACAACCTAGTATCTATATCTATGTATCGATCTGTATGTATACATATATATATGAGATATAACAATCCATCTATCTTTCGAAGCGGTCCCTCAAGCAATTTCTATATATATATATACATAGATCGATAATTATAAATGTATTCACCGTGGGGAAGGTTGGCGCACGGACGTGGCATTTACTTGTTCGCGCACTACTTGGTGGCGGCAGGCGCCGTAGATCGCATCTATTTTCTTCTGCCCGCGCTGTTGCGCACGTGGCGGTAACAGGTGGCTTTTGTTTGCTGCCCCGTAGTGTGTAGCAGAACGCGGAAGTGGGTGATCTTTGTTTGAATGTTGCGAACCAAAATGTGTGCCAGCTCTTCGCCCGCCCACTGCTTGCAGTTTTTTTTCTGCCGCATGGCCGCGCGCGTCTGCCTATCTACCCAGCGGTCCATCTGTCTATCTATCTAGCGATCTTGCTATCTATTTATCTGCCCACCTACCGGTCTGTCCATGTATATATATATATATGTATATATATACAGATTTGCTTATATATCCGTCCATGTTTCTCTATATCTTTCCATGCACCTCTCTATCTATGTATATATATATATGTATATATAGATATGGGAACATGTTGGTGATAATGATGAGTGGTGGTGATAGTGATGGCGGTGGTGGCGGTGGTGATGGCAGGGTGGTGGGATGGTGGTGGACATGTGACATGATGGCTTCTGTGCGTGGTGATGCGCCGCGGCGCTATGCCAACTTCACTTAGTGG